GCCCGGAGCTTGTCGGAACAGAACGCTCGCCAAAGGTTTTCACACCGATTCTCCGCCATTATTCTCTTCATCATTATTCTAGCCATCATCGGTTCATTAGATGGGTGTCAATGGCCTCCGCAGTTGAAGGGCTCCAAAATAAACATTATTTAAAACGTTCTCTTACTAGTAATATTTATTAAACATGTGCTGTAATTAAACGGTGTTAGTAAAGAAACAGATGAGAAACAACAAATAAAAAGTGAGAAACTGAGAAATCGCTAATACTAGCATCGAATTGAGAGCTCGCGGCCGCTCTCGGTGACGCCTGCAGCGATCCCAATCTGTTGCACTCCACTGATTATCTCATCACTGGCTACGGAGGACCAAAAGCAAGACGGTTATAATCATGGCGTCTAGTAGACGGGTTTACAGGGGACTCTAGGGAAGAAGTAAATTTAAAGTTATTTTCAAAATAAAAAGGCTAAAAAAATTGTCCGGTAAAAAGTTTGGATTTTTACTATATTTTGTAATTTAATCCCTCTAATAAAATCAGCTAAGTCTCGCGAAGAATCAGAATATTAAACAACACACTGATCGTAATACAATGAATTTTAGTATTACCTTCACCTAAAAACTTAATTTTCTTCTCGACGATTATGGTCACAAAACAACGAACCAAGGATTCCATTTCAATTTCAAAAGGTTAAGAAGATTTCAATTCAATATAGGCGTAGCAGGATTATTAAAAAAAATGTGGAGAAATTATTTCAGAACAATGAGCATTGTTTAAGTGTTTCAAAGGCCGACCACCCTACGAGAAATATTTTGAAAACCATATTCCCCAGTCTCTTCAGAAACATTCCACTCTCGCCACTCATCTGGGTTAATCTAAGAGTTTCATAACGCACAGCTCTGTTCAGCTTGAGTCATTCCAACCCAAATAGAATACAATGCTTTGGATATCTTCCCGAATTCGGCAAAATTCGTTTTAGGTCAAAGTGTTTTTACATACTGAATTTTAACGTAGTCCTGAAAATAGTTCTGAAAACATCCTTAAAATAGTTAAATGTTTGTCTAAGACATGATTCACTAAAAAAATTGACCAATAAAAGAAAAATGGATCGCACGCAACAAATAAACTTGTCAGAGCGTAGGCTTCCGCGGCCGGAATCAGTATTTACTAGGCTATCAGGGTGACGCCGCGTCCATGGCGAAGGTGCCGACGTTTCGGTCGCCATTCTGCGACCTGAGGAAGGTCGCAGAATGGCGACCGAAACGTCGGCACCTTCGCCATGGACGCGGCGTCACCCGGACAGCCTAATAAATAATAAACTTGTCGTTTTCTCACGAAATTCAATACTTTTAGAGCACATGGAAGCCCATAAAGTATGTTTGAAAATACGGGAGTGACTTTTTGAAAAGAAAGCGAAACAAAAAGAAACTAGAAAACAACGAACTAATCTTGTGACCATTTTCGATAGGAGGAAAATGGTTGCCACCGAGAAGACGAAGCAAGAATTTCAATGTCATCGCGAGCCACGGCTCAGGCGGCGATGTGTCGAACGTAAAAGAACGGGTCTCCGGCGGCAGGCGTGACTCACGATTCCATGTTCAGTCCCAGCAGCCGCAATTCGTTTCGCCGTCGCGAGGCCTTTTTTCGGCGGCGCTGCGCTGCATTGCTTCGCCTCGCCCCGAGGCTCCGGATTCGCGTGGGGAACTCCCAGGCGGTGGCAGCCGGCGCTTTAGGAGGGGCGGCAGGGATGTCCGAACCATCACTTGTACATATTTTACCAAATACTGATTGATCGAGAGCGGCACAACCGATTTGCACGGTTCCGGATCTTGATTCTTGTCTCGGACAACTCTTACTTAGATAACGGAAGATACGATTGAGCTCACGCGAAAATAACAGATAAAAAATATTCAGATGAGACGATTGCTTTTCTTAGCTTAGTTAATAGCTGCGGACTTATAATTTTTTTCCTTATTGTTTTAAAATGGTACAAGAAAATATAATCTTACTCAAAACTAATCTAAAATTCGACGAACTAAAGAACGATACGATTGCATGTTTGGCTTTCTGGAAACTAAACTTTCTTTCAAATATCTAGATAGTATATTCTTTCCGCATTATTTGTTCCTTTTGAATAATACTGTGCGTAGCATTTAAATGGTTCCTCGTTGATGGGGAGTAAACATTCGTACTACGTGATGAATTAGTTACCCACACAAAACGGAAATGTGAATTGTCTGTGGGAGCATCTACCTGAACCATTATATTTCCCTTGTTTAAATAATAAACACATTGTTCCGTATTTTAACTACAGAACACAACTGCGTCCTAAAATGCTGACGGCGGATATTCATAATACATGGTATTTAAAATGCGCAGTGTTCTCGAATAGCAACCAGTGCGGGCTCCCCGGCTCGCCGAACTATCTAGTGCAGGCCAACTTGTAAGGTCTCAGGCGCACTATATACTTTCATACGGTTGTGGGCCTATTCACATCATTCGCGCAGTCTACCCGTATTGTTGATCTCGGCACTTTGTTCGGCTGCTATGAAACAGGGGGGTAAGTGTGAAAATATGCGTGATATCAGGCCGTGACATGAATAACGCAGTAAAACACATTGGAATGATTTTGAATTTCTGAATTTACTAAAACAAACTTCCTAATTCTACACTTCACCCTATTTTGACATTAGGAGCGTTGACCCCGACAGGGCGCGACAGGGATGCAAACTGTTTCACTTTTGACAAATACTCTTTCGCGGGCCTCAATAAGTGGCACCGCGGGCCGCCAGCTGGACAACCCTGGTCTAGTGCGATGTCGACGGCCTCGTTGAGGGTGGGAGGAAGCATGGGTCGGCAGGTGATATTTCAGCGCTACATAAAATGCGGGTTCTGGCCTAGCAGGCAGAAACGAGCTTCCAAGTAGAAATCGAATAAATTACTAATATAAGCTTTATTTGAACAAATGTAACAACATTGTGTTTTGTATATAAGCTAACAAAAGGGATCAATATGAGGTATTAAAGTAGAATACATTACGTTGGCCAAGAACAAAATCATTAATACAACAAAATTTGCATTTGCACAAAAAAGGTGCGATTCAGGAAATCCTGTTTTTTAAATCAGACCTTGAGTAATTCTTGCATGTAGTAAAGTAGAATACAAAGCGCGCAGATTACATGTAATTATAATAAATAATGGGAAATAATAACATATGTGAATAATATAAATAAAATATGCATAACGAATATCGCAGTAAAATTAGTAGGAAGGCAACAGTAGCAAGTATAAGTGGTAGTAGAAAACCATGAGTAATCTTAGATAATTCATACCTAAAATTCTATTACAGTGCTAAATTAACGATTTTACATAGTATTCAACGAAGTATTGGAGTAAAGTTTACCGTACAAATATATACTTTTATACTATCGCAAGTAGCAGTTCATGACTATTTCCCAGAGAGCTATTTTAAAACCAGAAATTAGCAGTAACAAAATCATGAAGAATAGAAAATGATTGGTTGTCTCATCTGCAAACATATTTACGGTTTACATTAACACTAATATAAATAAAGTACGCGAGTTGTTGTTCTGCGCAAGTAATGGATTCTACTTCATCTACTACATGATAACATTCTGAAAGGAATGTTGGAAGCCAATGATATCAATGCTTTCCGGAGCATTTACGATGAACGATTTTATTAATGCGATGGGTCGATTCACTGTTCTCTACAGAACATACATAAAGTTAAAATAACCCACACCTCACGAGGGGTTTCAGTCCACAACCATGAAGGAGAACGAATAAAACCATAAGCTGTTTGTTATTACCGCGGTATTAACGCCGGCATAAATGTTTCTCAAAGCAATTGAAAATGGCTGAAAAGACACTTGTGAGTATTATGTGCATGTATAGGAGTAACTGTGCTATCGTTTCTGCATTTTGTCAACGACTCGATTACAATAGACAAGGTCACTGACGCATTGTGCACTCTAAATGAGGACAGCGTCAAGCGGCAATAATGTGATAAGATTCCTATCAATAACGTTATAATTTCCCTTCCATCTGATTTTAATTTTTTTCTCATTCTCTTCTCTTTAATTTTAGAACTATTTTTATCCGATTAATGAAATATATCCTTCAGAAAAGAAAGTGCATCAGTATGCTTGCAATTACTTGTATTTTTAATATTTTCCAGTAGCACTCCCTTTTGCATATCGAAACGTATTTTTTTCAGTTAATTTCTAATATCAATGTGTTCATTTATATACCTCATACCTGGATATATTTTAATTAATTACAATATGTAAGAACGTGTTTCATTATGAAGATAAATGTCCCAATGTAACAAAACAAGTTTCTTCTTTTGAAAATAACTGTAATGACGAAAGAAAAAAAATGAAAAAGATAATTACTGAAGAGGAATGTGACAGACGTCTGTATACTAAAGCCCAAAATACAGCTATCACAGTTCCAGCTGTTTAACCGCAATTTGTCACGGGTCATTGATGACAGGCACAGGCAGGGGGTAGGCAAACCGCATTTGTGTGGTATAGCTCTTGTGGTAGTGTTTGCTCCAGTTCATACAGCGCCCGTACTAAAACGCGGCCAAATATTCTGACAGTTTCTCATGAGCAGAAGAAACGAAACGATCTCTTTGTCAAGAACAAAAGGCATTCAATGATAGTTTAACATGAAGCGATGTCCAGTATTCCATATTAAAAGAATGACAATTCCTGTGTTCCGAAGACGTTTTCTCTCCATTATCTTGAAATTAATTAACCATTTCGAAAAATATACAGTATTGTTTACTGGTAGGTTGATAATATCAACAAGTAAATAATACAAACAGAAGTTCCTATTCAGCCCACGTTTTTAATAGGTACACGGCAGCGTTTTTACTCATGTAATATTTCATAATAAATCAACAAACGTCCATGACCAGAAAATATAAATAAACTACGTGCTACAAACTTTGTACGCGTAAAAAATCTTTGACGATTACCTTACCATATTTTTGTTTTATAATGATGTGAACTTCATTTGCACATTTTTTCATCGGTCCCTGTATTAATACAGTGATGTTGCGATTATAATGTTGTTTTGTTTAGAAAAATCTTTACACATCAAAACGACAGTAATGTTCTTCAGCCCTGTAACGTCCTTTTCACGAAGACTTTAAAGAAACGAAGTAACCTGAAAAAAAAACTTTGAGATGGAGAGTTCCCATTCTCTTTTCTTTGTAGAGTAGATATTCAAGGAAAATGAAATTCTGAAATCAAAAATCTTTGATGCCTGTGGATAAGCTGACTGAATTCGGAATGAGAAGTCACGAGTTAAGTGTAGAATAACACGTACGTTCCTGAAATAGAACGAACCCGGTCTGCAAATTAGCAAGTAACTTCAATAACGAAATGAAGACCCACTCTGTCGAACGGCAAGCAAGAGCAGTTGCCATGGTTTGATCGATAGTGATTCCGGGCGTGTCAACTGGTAATGTCATTAGTCACGTAAATGTAGTGCATGTTTTCCCCTCGGGAAGTAGCGGTGGTCTTTCTTCTCCTGGATGGCGAGATCCGGCGCCCACCTACCGTCGGCAGGGTTTTTTTCGTCAACCAGATATACCGCAGAATGGAGGCACCGCCCCAGACAAGAGGAAAGGTCTAAGGTCCCTCCCGGCATTTATGGTACTGTAGTGTATGCCAGTGAATGTGTGTAAGAGGTGACAATACAAGGAAGAGGAAGGAAAGATCGCACGCGATCCGTGGCCCGTTTGTGAGGTTACTGCCCCGACATTCGTCTGGTGTTGGTGGAAAACCACGGAAAATGCCGATCAGAGCAGCGGTCGCCAGACTTCTCTTCCAGTGAACGGCTGAATTCGACCGACCTATGTATGTAGCTAGAGTCGAATATCATGCCCTGGTCGGGACTCTAAGGTAGGAGCTCCCGGTCAGAGGCACTGCAGTGTCATCTGTTCATGCCCTGAGCCCCCTCTTCGGGCCGCCGCCACGAGATCGGGAAGGCAGAGGCTGACACTGCGTTAGGCGTGGGTGGAGGGGACCCGCGCTCAACTCCCATCGATTTCCGCCCGAGTCAGCCGGAGAGGCGCGCGCCGCGTCGTCGGGGCGGCAAAAGGGAATCGGCGCAGCTGTCGACGGGGCGGCGTCCTCCGACGGAACCGGAAGTCCGATTACAGGACGCTGCGCCGTTGGGTTGACACATCCTCTGATCAGATCGATGCTCGTCGCTGTCACGTTTCGACCACCGAAGAGAACAGCCTTCTCGGCGGCCGATTACGATTTCACAGCTTTTCAAATGGCGATCGAACCAGGTACACGCTCTTCGGAGGAATGGTTGTCACACGGCGGTAACATGATTCCATAACATCAGGGGTATCAAAATGTGCCCGTCCAGCCCTCCGCGCACGGGGAACTTCTGACTCCGATCGCATTTTCCTAAAAATATAGATGGGGGTGTTCACAGGCAATCTTAAATGGAAAATGTAACCACAAAGTTCCTCGAAATATCACCAGAAAAATTTCCTTCAATCGAAAATGTGTTTGCTGATTTTTTTTCTAATTTAAATAAACAAGACATTACTTATATTTTAATACAATTTATTTGAAGTTATTTTCCTTTTTAAATTCCGACTTCTGTTATCAATTTGTCATTCTGTTTCCATTATTATCAATATTATAATTATTTGGAAAATTCTTTGCCTCTTTTCATATTGTGTCAAGCTTTATTAAATTATTCTGTTATTTGTTGTACGGAATTACAATATAGTGAAACAAACTCGTATATAACAATATTGTTAAATAAATAAATAAATCTCTATGAAGTTTATCTCGTCTAGCGTAAGAATATTTATATTTATATTTATATTTATATTTATATTTATATTTATATTTATATTTATATTTATATTTATTGTTTCATTCACACAGGCGGACAACTATTTAAACAGAGAAGATATTTTTTGTTTAACCTGATCGAAGGAGGTTAATGCAATTATTGCACTCTTATGTAAACGAGATTACGAAATCAATATTTTTCGATTCAAAATGTCTAATTTTGCGCTACATTGATGAGTTCAACGTCTGATGAATTAATTTTAAAGGATAATTTCTTTGCTTTGGTGGAGTGGGAAATAATATTGATAAATTTGTGACAAATGTTTTGTCAAAAGACTCAATAGTCAGTGCAGTTCCTCCACCCCGAAGACATTCGTATAATTCCTACTTTTAAACACAGTAGCTTTGAACGCAGGGCCGTGAATTCTAGTCAGGTAGTTAGTTGTCTTGCCCGCAACCTTGACACGCCTGCCTTACATGATACTTGGCGAAAGACTAAGATTTCACATGAAACGGCTATTAATGACCTCACGAACATTTTTAACAAACTTTTTAACACTGAGTTACGAAATATCGTTTTCCGAGTTCCCTGACTTAACTTTCTCGTAAAGAATGCTGATTAAAACGGAAAAATCATCTTGAAAAGGTACAAAGTTTCTTTACAGATTCTTTTCAAACTTAACATATAAACAAGTGCGGATCCAGAGACTATTGTGGAAGGGGAAATTCAAAATATAGGTGTCATATTACATATTTTGTAAAATGTCGTAGGTTACACTAGCTCATGCTGCAACATGATTGTATTCCTTTTAATGATTATCCTAAAATAATTTTGGTTGAAACTTTCGTGACAAGTTAAAATTAATAGATACTTAGAAAGGGGATTTCCCTCATTTCCCTCCCCGTGGATGATGGTGTTGTGAGTCGGTGGTGGAGAGAGGTGGGTATATCGCGACTGAGAAATACAGGCGCTATACTGCGATATATGCAATTCTGCCCCAAGCAAGAATCATCTTTTGACGGTTTCATCCAAACGGGAGCTTGAACATCACCACAGTGACATAAACAGCTGATACCTGCGAGGGGCAGAGATGCGAAAATTACAGTATAAGTGAAGAAGTGAAGGAGCTGGGAGAATGTTTTGTGAAGATGGGTGTGTGGCGGGCGTGGCGAGGAAGAGGGCGTGGCGTGGAAGAGGGCGTGGCGTGGAAGAGGGCGTGGCGTGGAAGAGGGCGTGGGCGTCGGTAGAGGCGCGCGGCGTGCGAGAGTGACGAGGCTTGAAAGCGGCCTTAGGCCGTGAGGGATGGTAGTGCGTGTGGGAGTGCGGGGTGGCGGGCATGTGTGTGGCCTGAGGCGGTGTGTGTGTGTGTGTGTGCAGTGCGGGGGCGCCGTAACGTTTTAACGAGGCCTCTTAGCAGGAGCGCGCAGCCTTTAATTGCGCCGTAATCTGCTGTGGCGCCACTTGCCTCTGCTTCTACGCTGCGCCCTTGTGCATCGCGCCCCGGCTCGGCGCTTCCCGTTAGACGTTATCATCGGCGCCACACGAGATACTCCGGAGCACCGGCGTACTGGGCGTACCAACTTGACGAAAGTTAATCACTCAGATCACTTTTTAAATAAAAATAAGCATTTTCATAGTGTTTGCGAAACGAAAAGCATGCATTATTCCGGAATTGAAATAGTACAATTCAAATAGTACAAATAGTCATGTAGTACAATATTTTGTTTGTAAATATAACATAGAGAATCATGAGGGTGGGTACATATAAAGTTTATTTGGCCTGCTCGGCTGAAGCTACTCGGTTACTTATTTGACCTCCTTCTGGGCTATAAATATACAACAACATACAAGATAAATAAACAAGTAGTGCAATTGCTCATGATTCTCTATATTATATTTAATAATATGAGGTCATGATAAAGAGTACGTTTTGTTTAATTCCCGATAAGAATTTCGTTAATGTATTTTATTCAATTTGCTCACCAAAAATGCAAATGTCGCTACTCATACTGCAGTTCTTGTAACTCACTTACCTGAAACAAAACAAAAGAAAGGTTCATTATCATTACATGAAATTCAGACCTTTTGAAATAGTAGCATTTATCTACACACTACGTACAGAGAAAATCAGAAAATAATTCCACTGCTACATACGTGAGATGTGATGGTATGCAAAAAATTTCAGATGTGTTTATTATTGCTGCTGAAACTGATCAAAGGCTTCCCGTGACCTTATTCCATCTCACAGCTACTCAATAGACACTACCTTTCGGATACATACACTAACAGCGAAGCCCCGAGAATTGACGAAGTGAGAAACGATCCGACATAGTTCTGAACAAGTAGGTGAGCGGTAATCCACAAGAGCTAGAGGAATGTGCGGTGAGGTATCCGGGTTCTCTTTCCGAGTAGGTCAACCGGAGGTTTGTGCAGATGTTCCCATATAACCACCATGCTGTTACTGGTTAGAAGCGCGGCTAAACATGGACCTCAAGGTTTCTTTCCCCACATTTCACCGATACATGTGAACACATCTCAGAAACAAACAAACAGCTCCGAAAACTGGATCAAAGCAACTTAAAATAAAGAGGCATCTGTTGGGAAAGAGTAAAATTGAGTAATTTTTAGGAATCATCAAAGTCTGCCATCCAAGGCCAAGAGACGTTTGCCACGCAAATAATTTTGGTTGACCACACACAGTCTAGAACTAAAACATTCGGTGTTACGTGTCAGCAATCATGACGCATTCTAGGGCGCCAACAACCGCAGAATGCAGTGGGTTGGAACCGTTGGAATGTTAGAAACCAAAGACAATCGCGCGCAGTGGTCAACGATGAATGCGCATCCTGGCTCCTCTCTTAATTATTAAAAATTATGCAGAACAAAAATACAAGCGAAAATTATTTTTCCGATAAAAATAATGACAATAAATATTGTTAAAACTTTAATTTAATAAATGTACAATGTCTCTTCTTTAAATTTCATAAAGTGAAAATTATGTATTGGTAAATATTACTAGAAATTAAAATGGTGTGATTTATACGGTTTCAATTTTTTGATATCTCGATATCATACCCTTTCTGTAGGTTTCGAGCGGTAAAACTCAAAATTTAAAAATACTTTTGTGCCCCAACTCCTTGTCCATGATACAATATTTA